AGGGGTTTTGCATTTGTTTCCACAGGAGAAGAAAAACTTTGGATACCATCAAAATTGATCAAGATTCGAGTTGAAAAAGACAACCCTCTCAACAAGCATGACTAACAGGTATTTGCTGAGGTATATCTCATAAACTAAATGAAAGCCTCCCAAAGGAAAGGGAAGTTTTTATCTTCACAGAAAACTCACCTCCAGAAGTGAAAGGATACTGCATGGGTAGATACTTAAAGAAAAGAAGGTAGGTATAACCATCAAACAAAAGGAGCGTGCCATACAGTAAACTTTACAGCTGTCCCTCAAATAACTCTATTTCTCTTCAATTCCTAGTCCCTATTCAATTAAATCAATGCTGGATTTAGAGTTGGATTTGGCTTTTCTCCCCTAAAATTCAAGCATGTTGTTTAACTAAATTTTAGAGTTTCTGTATTATATCAAGAGGCCAATTGATGTAATACAGAATAAATGAAGAATTTGAGGACTATCTTTTGTCTTTTCTTGGCTCTTTCTTTCAAGGCCTACATCCTCTCATAATTGTCATTTTCCCATGGTTGTCTTTCCCAGCATACATACATATATGCAAGCAAACATTTCTCTGCTAATACTTATATTTGAGTCCCATACAGCCAATGAAGACCCTCCTGACGACAATCCCTGGATGCTCGGGGGAAAAAGAATTGGGCCATACCTCTTCGACTGCACTAGATCCAACTTACTCCGTTTCAACTGACACTCCGACCAGAGCCTCGAGTACTGACTTCAATCAAGTTGAGGATTTCAACCTAGATCTTCAATCAAGCAAATCCCATCTAACATGGACTAGAGATAACCCATTAGAGACTTTTACTATACTAACATTTTTTTCCCACAGGACCCCTAAAGGCTACCATTGTCCCGTTTCAGCAGGAAGTAACTTAGAAGATGCTACGCCCCCATTCCCCATTATTGTCTATTAGGGTAGTGGAAACCTAGTTAGGAAAAACTTTCTTATCGTTTAGAGTTGGGATTGGAAGGAGGTGTTCAAGTTGGACACCCTTTCCACATGACTTTGGGGCTTAGCCGGAATAGACATAGTTAGGACGTGCAATAGCAGATTATTGTATCTTCTTGTATTTCACCTTTATGATTGTTAATTTTGGATGATTTACACAATTAAATTTTAATCCTCTTTTAGACTAAAAGAGGAATTGTAGGGAGACACTGTGGCCCCACCTCCTAGGAGCCGGCTATAGGTATGCTTGACTACGCCTGTGAAGGTGTGGGGAATTCTTAAGGAGGTGACAGACATGGGAGCGCTCTTTCTGGGCTCCCCAGCCTGCTGCCTCAGGGCACTCTCTCTCTGGCTTGTGTTTGGTTTGTGTTTATCTGAAAAAAGACATCCTAACCACTATAGGGTAATTATCAGAGAAAAGGAGTTGGGCTGTACAAAGCTGCTTAGGAAAGCTGAGGTTTCCATGACCATGGTATGTCTTTCTTCTTAACGACGCTCTAGATCAGCAGAGAAGGGTAAGAAAGGTGACAATACTCTAATTCTCATTTCATCTCCTGGATTGTCTTACTGGAGCCAAATGGCCTAGAACAGAAAGACAATGTCACTTAGCTGAGTACAAGTCTCCCCACAATGCCCACCTGTGTCAGACAGAAGACACAATAGGTCTCTGTGAGTTTTCAACCAATGCCTGTGGTAAAAATATCTGGAAATAAATAGGGTACAATGGGAGAAAAGGCAAATAGAAACTGGCATTGGACACACAACCATCATGGGTGCAGTTATAGGACAGAAACAACCTCAACACCTGAGGAAGAAAGACATTAGAGTTCTGGGGATGTACAGCAAATGGAAACGATTCTCTCTTTGTCCCCTAAGTCAAACCCCAAAGCCTGGCAACATTCAGATGCATCACCTACATTCAGTGGCAGCTGATGATAGTAACTCAACCTGTAGCTGGAAACAGAAAAACGTATGGGAATGGACATGGACAGTCTCGAGCTACTCTGATGTGGCTGATGACATCAGTACCAACTCCTCAAAAAGCAGCTCCCTGGTATGTGTGCTAATGCACAGATGGCACATATTTCTGTTTGTCTCACTTTATGTAGTGCATCATGTACTCTTCTCTAAAGTACTAGGGACCTTAGTCATACTCATATAGTCACTGAGGCTTCAAATACTCAATGATATGGCCTACAGGGCTTAGCCAAACCAATGCAGTGGAGGCCTAAACCAAATTACATGATGATCCAAATAAAACTGAACCAAATGACCTGCATCTCTTTAGGTAATATGTTGGTATATAGGGAATGGGCCTCCGAATGTCTCTCCGTTAGACATGGGAGGTGCACCATTTTAATGAAGTGTTGTAATTATTGGCAATGATGCCAAAAATAATCAATCTAAACTGTTATACTCGGGTCTTAATGGGTAGTAGACTGCCCTTAGACTACATTCATGCTGTCTGAAATAAGACTTGCTTGTCCCTTAGCCAGGACTTATTCATAGGAGGCTAAATCCAAGACCCTGAAAGACACAGCTGAGGTAAATACCAAAGGCTGGCATCATCCTGATGCTTGGAGTTTCACTGGCAGTAGGCATAATTAAATACTGTATAAGACTAACTGAACCATTTGGTCCCTTCCTGTGTCAGCCACACTACCCAGGGTGGCTAACAGAGTTGCATAGTAACATGAAACATCTGCTAGAAGCCCAGGCAGTGTGTGACTGAGGGGTAATAAAGCCTGTTGGGAGAGAGAGTCCTCTATCAATGTCTTGTACATCCACACATGGGCCAAGAATGTTCCTAGAATGCCCTGACAGCATTTTACCTGGGCCATTTCTTAGGGCTGTGCTTGCAACAAACAAACATCAGAGATATGGCAATGTCTCCTGCTAGAACACCGTTACTTATGGCTTGTGATAAAACAGATTCCCCAAACTTGTCATTTCTTGGTTCTTATGCAACCCACTGCAGGTGCAGTCATCTCTTTGGGCATGTCATTTCATCCAGTGGGACTTGACAGGAGGTGAAGAAACCTAACTCCAAAGATGCAGATATCCATTCTGCTCCTTGTGCTAAAGTCCTCTGAGTCTAACCCAGTAGTTGCATTTCCCAGCAGGCATTAAACAGCAGTGTTTCACAGCTAATCTACTGCTTTCCAAGAAGAGTGGCCCTGAGAGAGTGTTTGCTTTGCTTGCCTTTTTGCCAGTAAGTTCCATTTGTGACACCGTCTACACTAAGATTCTGTTTGGTGAGATATAGAAAATATAACTTTCCTTCCAGCTAAATACCAAGTTACTCTGTGGGCTTAGAAAATGAAATTTAACCCAGCCTCAAGTCAGCATTTGTTATCATACAAAATAAAGCCTTCTAGAAATTCTATTCTCAGAGGACCATACCAGACCTGTTGCCCGGAATCTGTGCCACCATCCCTTGATACCCAAATTGTCTTTATTCTATAGAATTAAAAATTCTTTTAGGATTTTTTTCTTTGAAAAGCAGGCCTTGGGAAAATATGTACTATGAATTTACTATTTTCTTAGGAATTTACTTATTTTCCGAATGCCCCCATTTGAAAGCCAGGTAGTCTAGAAGACGTGAGA